CGGGAGGTGTGGATACAACAGCAGCAGATCTTTTTCTGCTGGTTGACTCGTGTCCACTAAGAATTGGACTTGGAGAGGCCTCCAGAAATTTGGTTTTACTTTCCATAACATTTCAGGCATGATGATGGAAACCGTGAAATAGAATACTGCAGGCCACTCAAAATGACATCCCTGGTACAGCCATCAGTTTGCAGGCTCGATTAAGTGATCGAGGTTTAATTGTTCCTTATCTCAAGGAAGGTGGTAAAGCAACCATCTTCATCAGAGAACAGGAATTTCTTTTAAACATTTGGATTTGTTCTTTCTGTTCAGGACATGATTTTATTCCAAGCAACCTCCTATTTCCCAAGTTGTACGCTAGGTATGACAGTGTCTTGCTTCACTATATGCGGCATCTTTTATTTTCCTGAACCCTAGCTTTCACTGTACATATAAAGCTCTGTGTAAGTTGATTAAAGAAAGAAAAATCAACCCCAGCTTTATCCAGAAATTTTCCAGATTCATGTAACTTAATACTTTTTATCACTGTTGCACACATCCACGAAAATGCCTGGTAATTTTTATATCAATGCCAGTTATTGAAGGTGCTGTTTCGAAATGCTGTTTAGTGAAATCGGGGAGGTGAGGCAAAGTCAGGCAGGGTAAGCAGGTACTTGAAGCTTAATCACCTGAGCACAGCTAGGCAAACACCAGTGACAACATTTTGTAACTATGAGATGATCCAACTAGCAGTTCAGGCTAAATCAGATACTTAACATATGCTGTAATTTATGGTTTGAATTTAGAGTAGATGTGTGAGAACTAACTCTGTTGTTAAAAGTCACGGTATTTTTCCTATCAGGAATTTTAACTCAGTGAAAGAACTCATAATTAAATGCTAGCATGTTATACAACTTCATAGATGTGCTTTTGTAAAACAAAGTTAGAGACTTAAATGAATTGCCACCATAATAATCATACTCTGTTTTGGGACAATCATGATCCAAGTTGTCCTGTGCTTGTTGGAGTTTCCTTGGACTTTTGTAGTCTGAAGGCAGCGAGGATCAGCATCTCTCAACTCCCAGGTCAAACGAATTTCTCAGAGTTGTTCCATTTTGGTTTGGTTGGGTGGTTTTTGGTGTGGTTTTTTTCCTGTTGACAGTGAAGAGAGTCTTCTCTTCTTTGGCAGGCAAAATCCTGCTCTGACTCATTCCCAGTCCTTAAGCGTAGAGTGGTTTAGAAGGAAGATAGGCATGATTCATATAAAGATGAGTATATTCTCCAGTTGTTTTTCAGTACCTGGGATTATTCCTGTTTGGGTCTTCTAATGAGAAGAACACGCAGCCAGGCATTTTTCCTTGGTGTAAGGCACACCACGGTGACTGTTCCGTCACTGAGCTTTTCCTATCGAGTACCTGGGGTTTTCCTGCTGCTGTCGTGGGGCCGTGAGGTCTGGAGGGAAGGTCCCTCAGAGATCAGGCAAGGGTGTTGGGAGCTCCTCATAGCTGGCTCTGGAATGGGATGGGGTCATCATACAGCATATGGGATGATTTTTCTGTCACTGGCCTTTTTTGCTTAGATGTTTGTTGAAGATGACAGGAAGGAAACTGCTGTGGAGAAAGAATGATCGCTAATTATGTTGGGGACTGAAGACTAAGGAGGAAATGGCAAACCAGTGTGAAAATTGTATTTCTTTTGAACAGGAATATTGTCCCAAGAAGTAATGGTCTGTTACTTAGATTCATTCCTACTTTATTTGTGCTCAGCATTTTAATTTAAGATGGAATGATTAAAAATAAAAATGTGTTTTTATGTACGTTACATTATTGCAAACTGTTGTGAAGTCCATATGGTAAGATCTTAAGAACAGCTTTTGGTATGAATTTGAAGCAGAGACTACAGTTTGTAAAACAAAGCTTTTCAAAGCTGATTTTAGGTTTTATAAAAAGCTTTCAGTTAAGGTTTGTGAAAGCTGTTTCTAAACAAACAACCCCAAACTTTGGCCAGGTCTCCGCTGCAGAACATCTTGCCAGCAAGCACTGTGTCTGCCAGGGGTGTGGAAAAAAGTCATACATCCTCACTGACATCGCTGGCAAAACCCCAGGCGTGGATGCAGCTGTGCCGGCAGAAGAGAACTTTTATCAGCTTAGCTTATATTGTTTGAGGAGGTGATGCAACTATGCCAGCAGAAGAACTCTTCTCTTGGCATGCACTGTCAGTGTAGGAGGCTCCGCCAGCGCAGCTCCAGCGGCGAGGCTCTGCACCGCTGCACAGCCTTTTGCAGCAACTGCAACTGGAAAAGAAAAGCCCCTTTGAATGAAAGAGGGACCTCTGTCATTTAGGTTTTACAAGTAGTTGTTGGTGAAGAACAGAACAGAAAGAATGATTCAGATTTTAAAATTAAGTTTTAATGTAAAAAATGTATTTAAGTCATATGGCTTTAAGATGTCACTGGCCCTTTAGTGGCTGTCTGTGTGTCACTGGGTTACAGGGTTTGAGAGCTGCAGTAGGGCCAGCATCTGTGTTTTGTAAAGCCTTTAAAGGCTGGTAAAGGTGTGTGTTTCTGTGGAAGCAATGAAAAAACTTCTGTCTGTAAACTTAGGAAGACAACTGTAATCACATTTGCATTCCGATCGTATTTGGATGTGACCACTAGAGCATCTTCGTGTTTAAATAAAAGTTCAAATTTCTCAGAATGGAGTGTTTATGTTTTACAGGAAGGCAGTGTTAGGATTCCTGCTCTCTCTCCACGCATGTGCCTTCTCCCCTCTCCTGCCTTTGGCCAGCTGGTGACAAAATTTTACACAACTCCAGTTCTTCATAACATAGAAAAACAAAGATTTCAAGGGAAAAACATTGTAAGAAGTAAAAGCACAACCAACCAAGAGGCTCTTAAGTCTCCAGTAGCAGATACCAGTTAACATACACATACCAGTCATCATCTTGACATAATTTTATGGCAGCTGTGCGTGTCTGCATGAGGGAAGTGCACGTTTGGAAACCTTGAACAGAGCAGTTGCATGTTTGATCACTGTGTGCATTTTGAGAACTCAGAGGGATTTTTGAAGAGAAGAGTGCACTGTGCCAGACTAAGTTTGTTCAATTTGTTGTGAAAATGTTTTGAAACCAGTTGCTCTGTCATTCTCCATTGCTTGTAAGCCTAAGAGTAATTGCCTGGCGTTACTGGAAGCAGAATGATCTGACAGCCTGACTTGTGCTGCTATAGTTAAAATCCGTCAATGTTTCCATTACAAACTAGGAAGGAGGGTTTAATCTTCCTATTTTGAATAGTACTTCAACTCTGAGTATAAATCTTTTGGAAGAGATTTGATGTTTCTAAAACTCCTTATTTAAAAACAAACAATTGAAGCCCCAGCCCTATGGCAATGAATCATTGATAATTCAGTTTTGAAATTTTAAATGATCAGGAATTTTTTTTTTTGGTAGTTTACAGTTCACTTCAATTAGGCAACAACAATGTTTCTACATATCAGTGCTGATTTTATAGTGAGTGTTGCAGTTTGCTGTTCCAGGCTATTATTGCTGCATAATAAACTTTGCAATATGCCAAATTGGAAGATTTCAAAACTTTCCTAAGGAAACACAAAAAAGAAACACATAATTACAATGAAGTATCTGATATGAGGCATGCCTTTGTACTTTTCTCCCACTCATAGTTTCATTCCAATTTCCTGAGGTTATCTCCAGAATAGCTTCACTTTTCTTGAGTATTAAGGCTGTAGTTTCATGGATGCTTTAAACTGTGGTAAACTGGTAATCCCCTCCGCTCTGCCTACACATTCCTATTCCCTGCCTTGTGACAACCCCAGCTTTTGTGTTGCACAAAACCACATGTGGTGAACCAGATCAGGAAAGATAATTTTTTTTTTGGTTCAGTCTGTGGCTGCACAACTGTTCATACTAGTCCAGAGAAGAGGGTGGCACTGGGGCGGGAACAAGTGAGTCTACATTGACATCTTACTTTATATTCCACTTTTTTTTTCCCCTACTGTGCCTTTCCTCTGCAGTTCACAGGGAGGTTCTTTGCACTTCTCAGACCATGGAGGCTCAGGCTTTTGCAGGAATGGGGACAGTTCTTTTTGTCAGTGAAAACCTTGTAGTCACAAGACTTTTGCTGTTCTCTAGTATGTTCATTAAAGCGTTCCTCTGTTACAACACCACAGACCTGTTCATAATGCTTTCTGTAGTGTCCTGCTCTACTGTTGTTAATGCAGATCTGCTCTACTGCAGATTTTCTCTAGGACATTTTCACATTAGGGTCTGATTTTAAGAGCAGTGGCATTAGATAACTTGAGGACTAGATAGAAGTGCTTATGTGCTTATCTCCTTTTGAGACTTGATTTTTTTGCCATTATACAGGATCTTTTTTTCTTGACACTTGAAATAATCCACAAGTACTGAGATGAGTGCCAGTATGAAAGTTCTGCAATAAATTTTACAAATTTAAAGTCTGATCCTTAAGCTGTCTGTGCTACCTCTCTATCTTTAAAAAAATAATAGCAGTATTGTGTGATGTACTAAAAGCCAGAAGAGATACAGAAGAGGCTAATAATTATTTTTATATTTTTTGGATAGATTAAGGAAATAGCATACTCTTCGTGTCTGCCACAGTAATACATTTATGATGTGTGAAATAGTCAGTGATGTTAACTTAGTTTATACCTGCTGGAACCTAGAGCAGCAATATCTCTTATTTCGTTTTCACATTAGATGCCACAATGAAGAGTGATAAAATCCTGTGAGTGATATTTAGCTGAGGTTATATGTAATTTGAGCCTGTGTCATACATTGAGCATGCTTCAGATGGTGGTTGGGTATATTAGAATGTGCCTGTGAATCCTGTCCCAGCTGTGGTGTGGAAGCAGGTGTATTTAAAATCCATGAGCAATTACGTACAGATCTAACACAGCGCTCCACACGGGCTGCTGTAGACTGAGATAATGTGCATGCTGCAATTGCTGTCTATAGTTTCCTCTAACGTGCTTTTTCCTTTGCAGCAGTCCATTGTACCAGCCCATCCAATGGCTCCTCCTAGTCCCAGCACCACCAGCAGTAATAACAACAGTAGTAGCAGCAGCAACTCAGGATGGGATCAGTTAAGTAAAACAAACCTTTACATCAGAGCACTGCCTCCAAACACCACTGATCAGGACCTGGTAAAATTATGCCAACCGTAAGTACTACGTTTAAATATCAATTGTATGTCATAGCTTAAAAGTTTATAGTAGGTATATAAAATGAGTGCTTGGATGATGAGGGAAGAAAAAAGATTTGTAAATAAAAACTCTCATGCTGTGGTGCAATGGCAAGTTTCAACTTCCCTGGCAATCAGAAGGAAAAGAATATGTTTGGCACTTTGGAGAAGCAAAGAAAGTTGAAATATAGCGGTGAACAGAAGCAATCCATTGCTTTAGTAAAAACTATGGTCACCCATACTGCTGCTTGATGCTGTTGAAATCACAGATAAATTAAAGTTAATGCCTGAACGTGAAACTTGCTATTAAGAACTTGCAACAGAGGGTCTCTTCTGTTCGTGACTAAGATAATACGTTGATACAAACTTCTCAAGTAATTGTTCTGCATCACTTTAAATTACAGTGTGCATTTGAATGCTTATCCTAGTTTCAGACTAATTTATGTTGGCTGTACATTACTACACAATTATATTTATGATTAGAAATAGTCAGTGTAAGAATCCTCCCTAGTGGCAGGAGTTCCAGGTTGACTTGGCTTAGCAGAAGATTTTCAGGCAATATTGTTAACATGAGATATTTTTGCTTGTGTGAGTTTTTGGTTTTGTTTTTAATTTTTACAGCAGTACATGCCTTTTGGTTACTTTGAAATGTGGGTCAGATGTCAAGAGACTGTGCAGTTGTCTTGTTTATATGCTGTTTAAAGTCACCTTTCTTAAATGTTTTACTGAATTTTAAAATCCTTAGTACTTCCAAAATTCATCATGCACTTTCTGGATTATTTTGAAATCAAAAGTACTTATCTAAATATTCAATACTACCTGTAAGAAAACACCCAGATCTCTCTTAAATGAATGGCAAATCATTAAGATTTGTATGTAACACTACTGTCTGAGATTCTCGAAGTAATTTTATGTTCAATTTAGCGGATAAGTAACTAGGCATATACAAAAATATGTGCTCAAGATCACAACACAAGTTAGCAATATAGCTAGGAAAACCTGTAAGTCTTGGATCTCAGCTTATATGAGGCACCTTTGTTTTTGAATAGTGCAAAAAAATCCGATACCTAATTTATAGAGAAGAATTTTTATTTTTTCTTTTTAAAACAAAACTTGGACTTTCAGTATAGTAGTCACATCTCAGTCATCGTAGTATTATAATAAAAACAACTCACTCTCCAGTCTTTAAAGAAAAAAAAATTCCATTTGATCGTTTTCCCAACAGCAAATGAAATCCATGTATTTTACAGAAAAGAGAGCATATTATCAATCTGTGAAAAAATTCATTGATAAATTAAACATTTTTTCAGCTTCCCATGCAGCAGTGACCTCTTGTCACTTGAGTTTTAGTTGCAAATGCATGTTTTACAGAAGTGGATTTTTCCTTACCATTTTTGTCTTTTGAACTGATGAAGAAACCTTGGCCTGTGCACTCATGTTATGCTAGGACAGAGTTATGAGGTTATTTTGCACTGGAGCCACCCAGTAACTACTATTTGTGCAGTGGTTACTATAGCTCCTTAATCTCTTTCTGAAGACATTTTGGTTTGCACAGTCTTAGATGTCATCGACGCATGAACATCCTAGAAAAAATGCTTTGCTGTAACTGGTCCTTTTCCTCTTGGATAGCCAAATATTCCCATTTTGTTGTTTTTGCTGTTCAACATATAATTATAGTTGGAACAGCATGAATTTTGCAACTAAAGAAAAGGCAAGAACTGCAGCCGTGAAGTTATTAAATCAATTCTGAAGTGAATTTACAGACTTGGAAGGTCGTGGTGTTTTTTCCTGTGAGATATTTCTCTCCGAAACATCTTACTTGAGGGGAAGGGAGGCCCTGTCTCAAAATTCTGCTGAGGAACCAAGTGAGATGTCCAGAAATCTTAGGCTTGGAACATCTTTCAAGAACCTGGGTAATCTATTAAGAGCCTTAGGCTTCTCCGCCAACGTAGCCCCTTAGCTACTAACTGATGCTGCGGCAAGACAGAAATGACAACATGCTCTCCCTGTTCACAGAACTTCAGTAATCCACTTTTATAGACTGTGGAAAGTTTCAGATGCAAAATGTTTCCTTTCTACAAATCTGCCTAAACTTCTGGGATGCGGAGGGCAAGATATTTGTGAAAGTGACCTGCCGTGTTCATTGTTTAAGCTGAGACAATACAAAATAAATGGGGAATAAAATCTTGGAAACATAGAAGTCAATGAAGAAACTGCTGTTTACTCTAGATCTTTGAAATATTTTCGTTAGCTCTTTCCAAATGACTAAGATTTTACTGGGAGGCTTTGGAGTAATTTTAGCTCCTTTTTCCCATATGGAGTGGATCTTGCTGTCCTAAGAGGGTATCCACTGGAGTCCTTGATGCTAAGAATGGATAGAAAGGCTGCTCTGGATATTGCAGAAGTGATCTTGCTAGCTGGCAATAAGCAGTTTTCCATACAGAAAAAGGTCATTGGCTTTGTTTTGTGTCTTTTGGCTGGTGTCAGACAAGACAGAAAAACACCTGTGGGTTGAGGAAATAATGGTTGAAAAATGTCATTGTCACTACAAATGTCAGAAACGTCCCATCTACACAGATTTTCCCTCTGATCATCAGGGACTTGTATACACTGTACTGAAAAGTTATTTTCAGTGGTAGTTATAGAGAAATATTGCTTTCAGTATAATCCCTCAGAATACAATGTAGAAGTATCTACAGAGTTCTTGTGTGGGGGTCTTGTTATACAGTGACTTTTATTTGCTTTAGTCAGTCTGTTTGTTTTCGTTCTTGCTCGTGACAACTATCAGTGCTGATTTCGGCCATCTTTTTATTATGATTAATTATTTTTGATAATTAAGAGAGACCTCTTATCAAATTATAGAAGTGTTGGGTTTGCTTTCCTGTTGTAGCACAGCTGTGCAGTGTTTACAAACACAGTTAACAAATGTTCACTGTTTTTGTGGAAAAGCGGTTTCCTGGTGAGAGTGCAACTTGCCACTATATGACTCTACAAATCTACTCTCCGCCTTTGTCCACTTGGTTCTTTCTAGCACTCTATTAGGTAAAGCTTTCTCCTCTTTTCCAAGATGAAAAGAGCATAATATAATTTTGTTGTGAAGGTTTACCTGGGAGTACAAGCTATTTTCAGAGAGTATTATTGGCTTTTGTGTGGGAAATGAAGCTGCCACGTTTCTGAATAGTTCATTCAAACTTGAGCCTGCTACTCCAGTTCTGCATTGGGAAAACAAATTTCTTCATATCAGTTGTGCCAGAGGCAGAAGTGTGGGGAAGAATAAGGTAGGTATTATGTTTGTCGCAAGTATGTCGTAACAACCAACCCAGATCCAGAGCCCAGAGTGTCAGGGGAACACCATGTGA